TGAAGTGGGGGGGTAGCTTGGGCTATAATGGGGGGGGCAGGAAAGAGGGAGGGGAGGGGAAAAGAAAAGAGATGGATGGCTTTTAGCAGAGAGAGCACTGGCTAGCTTGTATTTGCTCTGGGGAAGTCATGGAGGCTCCAAGCAAGACTTGCAGGGCACTTACAGAAATGCTCCCTAATTTTCAGCCACCTTCCTGTATGTTTCTGCAAGGGAATCAGGAAATACACCTACTCAGGCAGCTTGCTGTGTGGACACCAGGACTGAGGTTCATCCCACACAAGGATGCCTCATGCCTGCCCTGTGTCTCAGCTTTAGCACCTGGGATATGGCTACCATGTGGCTACCTGCCCTCCCCTGTGGGTCACAAAACAGTGATCCTAGCAGCAACACAGGCCACTCCATTTTATCTTGTCCTGTCTTACAGACCATGGCTGAAATAGGTTCTGTGGCTTGCTCAGAGTCTCCAGGGGAGTCAGAATTCACAGAGTTTTCTCAGTGCTCTGGGAGAATCTCACTCAGACAAATGTGCTGTTGGTGTGAAAAGGCTATACACACCTAGGTGGACCGCTGCTATCACAGAATATTATTTTCTTGTGAATTGGGAGATGCTTTCACACTGCTGGTACACTTAGAACTTTCCGTGAAAAGTAAGAGCAAAGGAGACTGAGGGAGAAGAGTGCTGCTTAGCCCACTATGAGGAGTCCGCAGGGAAGAGACCTGAGACAGGTTGGGTTTGACTAGCCCTCTCCAGTTCCTAGCAGAGTGATGTCCTCGGTTTCCCCTAACACAGGTAGAGTAAATAAACCTACAGCTTAGAGAAGTCCTAAGAGTGGGATGCTGCAGGGAGGGAGCCAAATCCCAGTGGGAGGAGGTGCTGGAGAGAAGGAGGAGCCGGGAGTCTCCCAGGGCTTACGTCACTAACCAGAGGAGACCAATGGAGGCCTGGAAGGCTGAGGCTCCACTCCTTCTCTGAGATAAGTTTTGATTAGGTGTCCTTCACAAGGTACCCAAGACTCTTCTCTGTCCCTCCCTTGGCTCACGCAGCAGAAATCCTCCTGGTCCTGCCCTCTTTGGGATGGTTTCTCAAGAACAGGATCCCAGAACTGCCTTGGGTGTTCCTATTCAAAACTCAGCTTACCCACCCAAGTCTAAACCCTATCCGTGTAGAGGGCTTGGCCAGAAAGCGCTGCCCCAGGCAGAGGAGAGGAGAAAGCCTGGGCAATAGGCCTCCTCTCCTGCAAGGCACTGTCAAGTCAAGAGATGTTAAGTCTCTGTGAATTTCCCACGGGGCAGACACTAGAAGGAAGGAACTAGGCTTCCGGAGTAGGCTGGCAAAGGGCAGGGGGGCGGGTGGAAGGGGATGAGGGGATGCACCATTCCTTCCCCCAGTTAATACAGGTAGTCAGAGAGGAACGGAGAGAAATAGAGATAATGTGTCATGGACGGGGTTCCAGGGAGGCCGGACCACCATGCAGAAGCTAAGACAGCGTTAGATTGTTAGGGCTGGGTGCTGGGTCCGTGTAAGCCGGGGCAAGTTCCCCGTCAGTCACCATCACCACCCCCCAGCTGTCCTGTGAAAAGTTCAGGGCAGGAGAGTACTTCTGCATCTGAGTTGTATATCCTGGAGGATCCCGGGAAGGTTGGAACTGTAGGTGGGATGGACCCAGAGCTGCGGGGTACACGACCCACCTCCTTCCCCTCAGGAGCTAAGTGGGGGTGGGGCACCGCTGAACTAGCAAAGGTCAGAGTCCTTACCTGCAAGCCATTGGGGTACACGTCGCCCTCGGAGAGTGAGTCCACCAGGTCCTCTTCATCCAGCGTGGCCCGCTTGTAGGATGACATCTGTAATGCCAAGTGCAGAACGGACTCCCTCAGCGTCTCCATAGCCAAATGGAGAAGCGGGGCCCCGGCGCCCCGCCCCGGCCACCCGAGATCAGCCCACGGATGGACGGCCCTCCCCGCACGCCACACCCGCCTCACCCCCAGAGAGGACAGCGCGGCGGCCAGTGGTGGCCACACGGTCCGCATGCTGTGCCCCACGATGCCCAGTCCCGCTCGGATCCCCTGGTGTCTCCACACGCTGGCTGCCGGGGGCGGGGCCTGCTGGAAAGTGGGTGTGGCCTGTTGGCACATGTCCCTCCCTGGCCTTCCACAGAGAGTTGGGATGGGGACCTCTTTCTTCCCATGCCCAGCCCTCACAGAGGCGTCATTCATAATGGGGTCCACAATGGCAGCGACCAAGAGACAAGGTTAGCAAAGCCTAGCTGGGTCAGGACAGATTCCTTCACCATCAGCCCTTAGGTGAGACAAGGGGTCTTCCATCTAGCTAGAAAGGCTTGCGGGTGTGGAATGGAGGAGGGGTCAGGAATCCCCCCCACATCTCAGTTCCCTTTCCCCTCTAATTCGGGAATTTTAAAGCCAGAGTTCTAAATGAAGTTCATACAATTCTAAGAAAGTCCCCTGACTTGACTGCTGAGTGAATATAGAGGTTTCAGCTTTCCAAATAGTCATTTTTCTTTTTCTGCTTTTTAAAAAATGTTTATGAGTGTTTTGGCTGTCGGAATGTATGCGTACCACATGCGTGCTGGTGGAAGTAAGAGTGGCAGGAATCGGATGGTTGTGAGCCCCCCATGTGGTTGCTGGGAATCGAACCCTAGTCCTCTGGAAGAGCAGCCAGTGTTCTTAACCGCTGAGCCTTCCCACCTAAGCACCATCTCTGTTGCTTGCCAACTTGATTCTCACTGTTGGGCATACATGCAAGTGAGCCAGTCTGGAGGGGTGAGGTGGCTGTCCAAGGCAGGGAAGAGATCAGTAAGGATGGTGGCTCCTGGGGGTTTCCAGGCTTTATGGGTCAGCAAGATGGCTCAGCTAGGTAAAGGTGCTTGCCGCCAATCTCACCACTTGAGTTCATCCCTAGGACCCTCCCTCTGACAGCCCACTCAACTGCTAGAGTCAGCCAGCCATTATAAATGAAATTCTCATCACACCACACTTGCTTCAAAGTCCTCTGTGTTCCCCAACCTTTGCCAGGCTCAGGGCTGCCCGTCCGTCCCTGACCCTCCCCTTCAGCTACCACACACCAAGGCCCCAGATCTCTCCCCTGGCTTTTGTTCAGATCTTTGGATACCTGGGTTGCTCCTTCTCAGCCAAGTCCTTTGTTACTGCTCCTCCCCCCTTCCACCTGGAACATTCTTTTCTGGTTTTTGTTCCTCCCACAGCCAGCTCCAGTCTCAGATTAAATGCCACTTGCTCAGATGTCCCACACACCCTAGGTAGCTCTCCACATCCTCTTACAGCAGCCTTTTCCTTCCCATATAGTAGTTATTTCGGTCTGTTAGGTCTGTTTTGTTTTGGGAGATAGGGGCTTATTATGTAGCCTGGGTGAGCCTGGAACTCACGATCCTCTTGCCTCCACCTCCCAAGTCCTGGGATCGCAGGTGTGCACCTCCACATACAGCCACCAGCACTCGGTTAACATTCTGTTGATGATTTTAAGTATTTATTAACTGGTGCAATTTCCCCTTCTTCCCCCAGAACTGTGAGCTTTGCCTATAGCAGCTGGGCTCTTGTGGGAGACTCCCCACCGCCAGGCATGGAGTGGGTGCTCTTGAGCTGAATGGTGGAGCAAGCAGTGGCGAAGGGTTGCCTTCAAATTCTCACAACAGCCTCAATGTCTGATGTACTGCCTAAGAGAACACAGAAACACATCCAGGGACACAGGTCCTGGGGAAAGCAAGGTGTGTGTGTGTGTGTGTGTGTGTGTGTGTGTGTGTGTGTGACACACACACAGAGAGAGAGAGAGAGCGCGGTGTGGGGGGTGTGTGTGAGAGAGAGCGAGGGAGAGGGAGAGAGAGAGAGAGCGCGGTGTGGGGGGTGTGTGTGAGAGAGAGCGAGGGAGAGGGAGAGAGAGAGAGAGCGCGGTGTGGGGGGTGTGTGTGAGAGAGAGCGAGGGAGAGGGAGAGAGAGAGAGAGCGCGGTGTGGGGGGTGTGTGTGAGAGAGAGCGAGGGAGAGGGAGAGAGAGAGAGAGCGCGGTGTGGGGGGTGTGTGTGAGAGAGAGCGAGGGAGAGGGAGAGAGAGAGAGAGAGAGGTGTGTGTGTGTGTGTGTGTGACACACACACAGAGAAAGAGAGAGAGAAAGAGAGAGAGAGAGAAAGCAAGGTGTGGTGTGTGTGTGTGTGTGTGTGAGAGAGAGAGAGAGAGAGAGAGAGAGAGAGAGAGAGAGAGAGAGAGAAAGTATCTCTTTCTGAAGATTTATTTATTTTGGGGCTTCAGAGATGATCCAGTGGTTAAGAGCACTTGCTGCTCTTCCAGAGGATCTAGGTTTGGTTCCCAGTACCCACGCGGCAGTCACAACCATCTGATCCAGTCCCAGAGGATCAGAGCCCTCTTCTGGTCTCAACAGGCACTGCACCAATGTAGTGTGCCTACATATGTACCTGTATGTAAGTGAAATGTTAAAAAACTGCAACATAAAAAAAAAAAAACTTGAAGATTTGTTGCTGGGCATAGTGGCAAACACCTTTAATTTCAGCAGAAACAAACTCTGTGAGTTTGAGGACAGTCTGATCTACAGAGTGAGTTACCAGAACAGCCAGGGCTACACAGTAAGTCCCTGTCTCGAAAAACCATTAAAAAAATACTCTCTTAATCTTATTTTTTGGTTAAGTGTGTTTTGCTTGCATATATGTATGTATACCATATGTGTAACTGGTGCCCATGGAGGGCAGGAGAGGGCATTGGGCCTCTGGAACTGGAATTACAGATAGGTGTGAGCTACCATGTAGGTGCTGGGAACCAAACTTGGGTCCAGTGCCACCTCGAGCGGGCGATCCAAATTCTTGAAACTTCTGCCTCTCTCACTAGGTGGAAGAGTTTCTGTTACTTCACTCCAGGAGAGAAAGACACCTAAGGGCTTTCACAAAGAGACCTGGCTGCAGTAGGTGACAGGTGCTAATCACCGAGGAAAGGGCCATGAGAAAAGTTTTGATCCTCCCAACACTTCCCCTGGAACCTAGGAGGGCCAGAGAAGGAAGGGCTCCTGCTTCCTACCCTCTTGGCCTGGTATCCTTTCCCTTTGGTGGGTCTCATTGGCCCCTTTTATGCAGAATGAAACTGAGGCTAGGAGAAGTAGCTTGCCAGCAGGTTAAGCAATGGCTCCTCTTACTTTCAGTTCATTTCAGAGACTTCCTGTTCTGGGAAACCTCCTGACCACTGACAGCATCTGCCCCCACTGAGGTGTCCTCTCAGCACGTCCCCGTGCTGCCTCCTTACAGCAGGCATCAGGACAGGAGTGGGGTGAAGACAGAGCATGGCCTTTTCCCTGAAGGGCCAGGTCTGGGGCTATAACCCTTAGACGTCTGGTTTTTGTTGTTGTTGTTGTTGTTTTTTTTTTCCAAGACAGGGTTTCTCCTGTGCTGGAACTCACTCTGTAGACCAAGCTGGCCTCGAACTCACAGAGATCCACCTGCCACTGCCTTCAGAGTTCTGGATTAAAGGCATGCGCCACCACCCAGCTGCCTCTAGATGTTTGAGCAAAGGTGCTTATGGGTGGGTGGACAACCATGTCCAATCCATCCCAATGCAGCTGTCAGTGACTGGATGACATAGGCCGCTCTTAAACCTCTCAAGAGAAATAAGCATTGCAAAGAGCTGTTGATTTCTCAGCCCACAAAAGCCCCACCCCATTCCTGCAATGCCAGCTGGGGCCTGAAGTGAAACTGCACCTATCTCGGATGGGTTGAGCATCTCACCCACCTGTCCTCAGTGGGGAGCTGGGTGGGAGGCATTTTATAGCTGAGTCGGTGACATTCACCAAGGGCTGTCCTCTCTCTGGACATGCCAGGCACTCCACAGATGATGGGTCCCCACAGCCACCTGGGCTAGGCCAGCAGGTATGTCTTCCATTTATAGACAGAGGAAGGGGAAGTGGTGACGGGACCCTACATCTACTGAATGTCACTTAAGATGTCTTTTTTTTTTTTTTTTTTTTTTTTTTTCCCGAGACAGGGTTTCCGCTGTATTGCTCTGGAGCCTGTCCTGGAACTCACTCTGTAGACCAGGCTGGTCTTGAACTCACAGAGATCCGCCTGCTTCTGCCTCCTGAGTGCTAGAATTAAAGGTATGTACCACTAACACCTGGCAAGATGCCTTAAGTGTCCCTTTTGTCTCAGCACTTCACCCCTCTCAGGCAACATCCTTATCTCCACTTAACAAATAGAGGAGCAAGGGTCAGGGGGATTCATCCCTCCAGTGCCTTGGCTGCATCACAAGGTGCTGGGATATGAGCTTTTTTACCTTCCTGCAAACCCACCCATACTGCCTTCATCAAGTTGTCCCCAAGGAGGCCAGACCACACAGCAAGTCAGCCAGTACCAGAGTCAGGTCACAAGCCTGGGCCCTGGCTACCAGGTCCTATGTCCTTTGTAGAAGGCAGGACTGCTTCTAGTGGGAACCTCATAGTCTGGATGCCCTGGGAAGAGTAGGCCCTGGGCAGGCAGAATGGCCAGGGGTTGTTTTAATGGCCTCATTTGTGGTTCTACGGGCACCCCACACCCTGCCCTCAGGCTTCAGGAAAGTAGAACTGCTGCTT